GCTTCTTCAAGAACCTCCTGGTCAATGCAAGGGCCCTCCGTAGGTCAGGGAAGAATAGGCAACTTTCCACGAGTAAGAAATCCTATTGTACAAAATATGCCCATAACATAGGAGGGAGCCAGCCACAGTTTTAACTTTAAGCATTGATCGTCTACTCCCCTTTCTCCATTCAGACCAATTCCTGCCCACACAGGTAGCACTGACCTTGGGGAACAGGCGGCCTCCACCCAGTGTCTTTTGTACTTCAGATTTTGACTTACTGGCAAGACAGCATAACATTCAAGTCAGTTCTTCAGAAGAAAGGTCTATCAACTTTTGAAGCTCCGTGGTTTTCCTCTTATTTGTTAAATTAAATTCTGGAGAATTATCTGAATTCTGAAAGTACAACTATGTCTGTAGAGTTCAGACATTGGAAGCTTACAGTGTTTACAGGAGTTTATCAGACGTTCACTGATAAATTTGAGCCTCTTTTTTTCTTCCTCTGGGCCTTGGTCTGGGTTGTCTACCCATCTAGAATGTTCTTCCTCAGGGAAGCTTCCTGGCCTTGCCCTGCCCATGTCATCTTCTGTGAACCCACATCTCACAAATTACCCAGCCCAAACCCAATGGGTATTGGTACTACCAGAGTGGATTTGGTCAGGCTGGTCGAGGCTCTGTTCAGTGTTTCTAAGGTTAGCAGTGCCCACCCTTTCATCTCAGTACCCTGAACTCTCGTTTCCACCTCCCTTCCCTTCCCACTCTCCTGTTCTTTCTCTGTTCTCCTTATCAAGGTCTTGTCTCGGCTTACTGCCCTGTTAGAGGGTCACACAAACTTGTTAATTACTCAAAATATGTGAGTTTTTACAGTAATCATTGGAAATTTATTTTTTAAAGTGCTTTTTAAAAAGACAAGCAGGGTGCCCTAGCCGGTTTGGCTCAGTGGATAGAGTGTTGGCCTGTGGACTGAAGGATCCCAGGTTCGATTCCAGCCAAGAGCACATCCCTGGGTTGCAGGCTTGATCCTCAGTAAGGGGCATGCTGGAGGCAGCCAATCAATGATTCTCTCTCACCATTGATGTTTCTCTCTCTCCCTTCCTCTCTGAAATCAATAAATAAAAAAAATAGATATAATCAATTAAAAAAAAAAGACAAACAGGGCCACTATCCCCTCTGTTTTTCCACATCATGCTGGAAGCCTGGCAAAAATTGCAATAAGATAAGAAAAAGAAGATATAAAAACTGGAAAAGAGGCCAAAGTATCTTTTGTGGGTAATATGATTTACTGCGAAAAACCCAGTCACTATGTAAACTATGTGAACTTCTATAAGGAGTTAAGCGAGATGACCAGATACCGAACCAACAGAATCAATAACTTTTCTGTAATCGGCAGTAACAGTTTAAAAAATGGGAATGTTTAATCTCATTTCATTTTTGTAATAACTCTGAGGACAATTTCAGCTCCATTTCTGCAGATAATGAAAACTGGAGTTAGACGTTAACTTGACCAAAACCATGCAATTTATAATTAGCAGAGAATGATTCAAATCCGGTCTGCGGGAGCTGAGACCCTGATCTTTAACATTATAATATCCCATCACCTTTCTTTTGTTCAGCCCCCATGTTACGTTGCACACTTCTTCCCTGGACGTCGTTTTCATCACGGGCACTGACACTGAGTCAGTCAAACTCGCAGGCGGGTTGTGGAGGAGACCCGGGCAGGGGCGGTGGCTCGGGGAAGCCTGGCGCTGAAGCTGTGCCTGTCAGGGGGGCTGGGGGCCTCTGCTTTTGTTCTTCCCGAGTTCAAGCCTGCAACAGTTGAGAGACACCCTCCGGAGAGCAGGGCGAGTTTAAAACGCAGCCGCAATCTCTCCGAGTCGAAGGAGAAGCTGTCAGATGGGTAGGTGTCATGAGCTTGTGCACACAAGTAACAGTGACATTGGAGAATCTTGCCTGTGGATGTGTGCGCGTGCGCCCAGCTTCGGTGGCTGCTGTCCCCTGCTGAGTGGAAACCACGAGCAGTTAGGTCAGCGGTGCATGTGGGTAGGAGGTATTTCCCCTCGCTGTTCTTGGAGATGCCCTGATAGGACACTCCTCTTGTCGGCAGGTCACACCGCTGTTAAGATCTGTCTGATAGTATAGATTTGACACAACCTGGCTTCCCGGGGAGCCTCTCTGGCAGGCTCTCCTCTCCAGAGCCCAGACCCACACCAAGCAGTTTGGCAGGGAAGGCTGTGGGCTGGGCCAGGTCGTACGCTCACCCGGGAAGCGGTGAGCTGTGGACATACCTCAAAGTTTGCTGGCTTTCCTGTTCCTTTGTACAAACCTGTCACTCAGTTAGGAGACCTTGAAAGGCCTTCCTCGGCCTCACGTTTGGGAAGCTTTGCACTTGACCGTGCAGGGGGGCAGGGCTGTTTGGGCCTAGGGAGGTCAGGCGGGGGCATTTCTGATTGGCTCACGAATACCGGGAAAACTGGGTGTGCCCCATTTCTCAGAATGACTTCCTCCACATTGTTAACCTGGCCCTGGGGTGGATGAGGGTACCAGCTGACTAACACAGAGGTGACCGCGATGTGTTCACTGGTTCCCGAGACCTCAGTGCTGAGTGCATGATACCGGGTTCAGCACTCGGGTAGCTTCTAACCTCAGAGATGACCGTCATGTGGGTGCTGGATAAGAATTTAACCCCTGAGATCTGAGTCATACTGAGGGCCCTTATCTGCTTATTCAGGAAGTACTTACCGAGATCTTTGGAAACCTTTGTATCGTGTGACGCCATCCCCTTATCTCCTGGGTTCTGTCACGCAGGGTGCACCTTCTGACGTGAGGTTGTACTTTCGTTGAGGTGAACACAGTTCCTCTCAGAGGTGGCGTTGGAATGGGCTCACCTGAGTGTGAGAAGCAGGGTGAGGGGTACTGAACTCCAGGGGGCTTGACGGTCAGGGTGTCCACATCTGGGTTAGCCACTGCCGGTCAGCAGGTCCTGCCTCTGCTTTCCTCTGTGTGATGTGGAGACGATATTTTACCTGCGATGGTTCACGTGTACCCAGCCCCTGGCACACGGCACCCACTCTCATAACGGGGGAGTCCTGGGCTTTGTTGTCGGATCGACAGCAAAGTGGGTGAGAGCTGGACAACAAGCAGAGTGTGGAAGAAAGGGAAAAATTCTTGTGTGTCAGCTTGGTCTCTTGCAGTTACTGATATTTAATAGTAATTCTTTCCTGAGTTCTGAACCAATTGGGGGGACCCTTAATGGTCCGGGCTGACATCTGCAGGAAGCAGGTGTCTCAGGACCCGCCCCGCCAGGCACAGGGTTGCTGGGTCTGCAGCCTCCCCACGGTGGGCCCCACAGTCCCCAGAATGGCTGCTCGCCAGGTGGGTGGCTCCCAAGAGGCAGAGGGGGGAGGCAGCAGGCTGCACGCCCAGGTCACCCCACCCGCTGTGGAGAGGAGTCAGGGTCACTGGGAGCCCAGGGGAGTGACGCAGGTGGAGCTGCTGCCTCAGAGCTGGGATCGGGAGGGAGGAGAAGTGCGCCCACATGGTGAGCCCAACACATCTGGCTTAAGTTACCAAACCGTGGGTCAGGATTCAGGCTTGACTGGACCCCAAAGCTCAGATGGTGTCCATGGGGGTGGCCTTCTCTAGGTTTTGCTTCACTTCATCCAGAAGGTGCTTCCCCAGTGCCCTCACCACCACCATTCCAGGCTTACGGGACCCTTAGGTCTTAACTTGAGGTAAAAAGTCAGCATCTTTTCTGAACTCTCCGTCAAAAATCTTTCTGTACTGCCTGAGAGGACCGTGTGTCCACATCTGGATTAGCCACCGTGGGTGGAGGGACTGGACATAGGCATCAGCCCCGCATCACTTGGACCAAACCAATAGGAAAAATCCAGGCAGATTGGGTCCCTTTAGGGAAACTGCACATGTCCACCAAGTTTTAAAAATTAACAGTAGTTTATTGCATAATGGAAATGAGTCTTTTTTTTCCTAAATACCTGTAGTCTCATTTTTCTGAGCATTTACTTCTTTATAAATGGGCAGAGGGGTAAAAATAACTTATCAGTTTATTTGTTTAAACCCTGCCTTGCCCCCAAAAGGATTTGTGACACGAACAAAAGACATGTAGAATAAAAAGATAAGGGGACTATGAGAGCAACAGCCAAGGAGAGGAAGAAGTTCCTGGATACAAAAAAAAACCTTTTCATTTGTTTGGGGGGGTAGGGGGGCAGGGTCCCCGACGCCATGGAGGTGAAAGGTGGGGTGCCCTGGTTGTAAAGACTTCACAGTCTTTTATGAGCATGTGGGGGGTGGGAGTGGCTGTGGAGGGTGACCATCACCTGGCCCCCTTCATTGAGTCTGAGGCGGGAGCATGAAGCACCAAGTGGTAGATATACTGGGAGGCGGTGGCCCCCCGCCCCTGCGCTCTGGCCACCGTCCATCCCAACATCCGCTCACCTTCCCAAGGCACCATCAGGTAGGCTCCGGGCTGAACTGGATACCGCTGCTGGGGAGACAGCTCTGCCAGCCCCTCCTCACTGATGGCAGCCTTACCCCTCTGCAGTCGTCATCTTGCTGCCAGTTTAAAGTGGACCCCAAAGATGTCCTATAAAATTTCTGGAAAGCCAGTACCCATGATACCCCACGGTATCCTCTCTCTCTCAGGCTGGGACTAGCCGCACATGTCAACATTTGGGTTTGATTTTTTTTTCGTGTTTGCACCTCCGCTGCTCACCAGAGTGCCTTGGAACTAGCGCTACAAATGGGACAACCACCCTTGACCAACGGGGCTGCACCCGCGGGAGGCCTGCTGTCGTAAGCCCGGCCCCAAAGCCTGGTCGCTGCTCCCACATTCGAGAAAACAAACCCAGCTTTCCAGGGTCTGGAGGCCACATCATGTTTAGACAATCTCGCCCTTCGGGGGTCCTCCCACCTCGGGTAGCCCAGCAAGATGCCACAAGGCGGGCAGACGGCATGCGAGGGTTTGGTTGTTTCAAATTAACTCTTGGTTACCTTCCTCTCAACAGACAGCTACAGACAGTTCTTCTAATTCCTCTCAGAAGAGGGAACAACCGACCCGGACAATCTCCTCCCCCACATCCTGTGAGCACCGGAGGATTTACACCCTGGGCCACCTCCACGACCCGTACCCCACGGACCACTACCACCTCGAGCAGGTGAGCGGCAGTCTCCGTCCTCGGGGGTCCTCGGGGTGGGTGGCTCCCCATGCTGGGAGGCCTCCTTCCTCTCCCCGAGCCCAGGCCCTTCCATGCTACTTTGTGCCACCCCACCCCACATCGCTGGCGGTGGTGGCAGCTCACCTTGCGTAGAGGTTTCTGCGGGCCAGAATCCTTGTACTGTATCTCGTTTAATCCTCACAAATTGCCCCACAAGGCACGTCCTCGGCTCCCCACTTTGTAGATGAGGAAGCTAAGGCTTAGGGACATCGAGTCCCTGGTGGAACAGATTCAAATGCCAGTCTGTGCTCACCCATGCGCTGTGCTGCCCCCTGCAGAGGGCCTCCTGACCTGGTGTGAAAGCACAAAGCCCCAATCAGGCCTGAAGAACGCTGCGCACCTGGCTCACGCCCTGGCGGCTCGGGCTGCAGGCCCAGGCCTGCTCAGGGAGATGGAGTCTGGAATTCAATAATTCAACAAATATTTACCGAGTGGCTGTTTTGCAGAGTAGGTTCCCAACCTGTGGGGCTGGGACTGCTGCCTGTGTAGGGTGATGTGGCCACCGGTCTGTTTTGAAAAGAGAAAAAAGGAGCACAGTTAACAAAGCTAGGTTTATATGACTCTTTTAAAAAATCTTTTTGTTATATGCTTCCCAATAGTTTGGCATTAACAAAAATTTTTTTAAATCAAATTATGGTAGCAGTCCATAAGAACTGGCTTCTTGGCTCTCCTTACTTTGCAAAATAAAAAATTAGCGAAGCCTGCGACAGCTCCCAAGATCCGTTCTGAAATCCTACAGGATTGTGATTTTTCTGAAGCCCAGGAAGCTCTCATGTCAAGACTCTCGGGGGAAGTAGGGCAAAGGGTGTGAGAGGTGGCCCTGCTCACAGTCCGGGGGGAAGCGATGGGGAAACCCAACGGCCATGTAAAATGCTGTCACTGTGACAATGGCAGCCGGTATCGAGCACATCCCGTGTGACAGGCTCCGTGCGAACACTGCATAGATTCCTCCTCTCCATTCACAACAGCCCTGTGCAGTCTGACAATCGGAAACTGAGGTTGAGGTATAGCCACTTGCCGAGAAATTGCACAGCCCGAACTGGACTCCAGTGGGCTTGCTCAGAACCATGCTTTTTCCCCCTTAAAGAGCCTTCATGCCCAAAGGACTTCTAAGGTAGAAAACCAACTACCTTCTGAGAGGACGCTTGGCCCTAAAGGAGAATGAAGTTGGGGTGTGGGGGCTGGAGGGTGTGGCTCTGGGTCACAGCTGCCTAGGCCCAGGTTCCAGCTCTGTTGCTCACTATCTGTGCGATCCTGGCAGGATTCGAACCCAGGCAGCTGGCCTCCAGAGCCTGCGCTCTTAACCTTCTGTTATCTGGGCATCTTCTCTTCCCAACCGGATTACACGGTTCTTAGAGTTCCTGGTAGCCCCCTTTTGCTTTTTTTGAACACGATCCACAGTGAGAAATGCTTTTTATATGGTGACCCACGGCTCACGTATTGTATATACAGAGATTATGAAAAGTACTTACCCCTCTAACATGCAGTATACTCCAGTATTCGTCTATTTCACTGAAGAAGAAGGGGGTGAGGGGAAGCTGATCATACAACAGAGAACATACTGTCTATTCGTCTATTTCACTGAAGAAGAAGGGGGGGAAGCTGATCATACAACAGAGAACATACTGTCCAAACCAGACAGAAATCAGGCTAGCAGGCAGCCTCACCTTCTGCTTCTTGACCTGGGTATGTCCAGCTTCTGGAAATTCAAACTGTTCTTACAGTGGGCACACTTTCCCACCTCGATGGTAATCAAAACAAGGGGTGGGATAAAAGCTGGTCTCTGCCCATTCAGTTGATTCCCGACCCGGGAATGGATTGAGACTCACAGTTTGAAATCCATCTTTGACCCATAAGATGTTCAGTCATTACAGGATGGGTCAGTTTCTTCCAGAAATGCCTTTGCAAGGTGAAAGGTACATGTTGGATTCTTTTCTCCCTTTTTTGCCGCTGCTGTAAAATACTGTCTCTTCTCTCCTGGGGCAGCCGATGCCCCGGCCCTACCGCCAGGTGAGCTTCCCGGACGACGACGAGGAGATCGTGCGCATCAACCCCCGGGAGAAGGTGTGGGTGACGGGCTACGAGGACTACCGGCACGCGCCCGTGCGCAAGGCCCTGGACCCCGCCGAGGACGCGGACTCCTACGTGCGCTTCGCCAAGGGCGAGGTCCCCAAGCACGACTATAACTACCCCTACGTGGACTCCTCGGACTTCGGCCTCGGTGAGGACCCCAAAGGGCGCGGGGGCGGCGTGATCAAGACCCAGCCCTCGCGGGGCAAATCCCGGCGGCGGAAGGAGGACGGCGAGCGCTCCCGCTGCGAGTACTGCAGGGACATGTTCAACCACGAGGAGAACCGGCGGGGCCACTGCCAGGACGCGCCCGACTCCGTGAGAACTTGCATCCGCCGGGTGAGCTGTATGTGGTGTGCGGACAGCCTGCTCTATCACTGTATGTCGGACCCCGAGGGCGACTATACAGACCCCTGCTCGTGCGACACTAGCGACGAGAAGTTTTGCCTCCGGTGGATGGCTCTTATTGCCTTGTCTTTCTTGGCCCCCTGTATGTGCTGTTACCTGCCCCTTCGGGCCTGCTACCACTGCGGAGTGATGTGCAGGTGCTGCGGGGGCAAGCACAAAGCGGCCGTGTGACTCTGCCCCTCCCTCCCCTCCGCCCACAGCCACCAGGGAACTTGTCTCCCACACACTCGCATCCTCTCGCCTGCTCCCTGGGGCGCCATTCCAGCCTGGGGAACCCTCTGGTGGACTCTGCACCTCCCAGCCACTCATCCACCCCTGCACAGTGTTCTAAAGAAAGGACCCCCCCTCCCCCCCGCATAGACTCGTGTATTAATAATCTGTAATCAAGCTAACTGTCTTATACCTGTGTTGATTTCCTGCCCACCTCTTCCACCAGTTCAAAGGCACCTGCAGTCGGAACTGTTTTTTGGGGTTTTTTTTGATGGGTCTTGTAGTTGGTTTTTCCAAGAGCATCGGAGACTATCTTTCTCTGGGCTCAGCTTGCCTATTGCCAACAAGCATCACCGGGTTCCTGGAAGTGTGATGTCAGAATGATGAAACCCAACCAGAAGTATTTCAACCCCGCGTTAGTTGCTCTGGCTAGGAGGTGAGCTAGCTGACAAACAAGATCGCTCTAACTTTTCTAAAGCCAAATTTCCCATGTGAGCCGCAGTTTCTATCTTGAGCCCATCATCATTTTCTGCCCCCACCCCGCCCCCAAATCTGCCAGTTCTTCAGGATGCAAACACTCACCCGGAAAATGACTAAGAATCGAGCCTTAACTTCAGATTAACTTGGGAGAATCGGGAAAATTCCTTAAACTGCATCACATCCTCTCTAGCCAGGACTAGAAAGGAGGTTTCCGGATTTCCCCGAGTCTCCCCAGTTACCCCTAAGGTAGGACTTTTTAAAACTGTGTCGCCACCACTTCCAAAAATTTAGCAATATTGGAAGAAAATGCTAATAAAGTAAAAAATTTGCTTGCTGTTTTGGAAACCAAATACTCCATTGAAACACAAACCAGTGTTAGGAAACACTAAGATTCCAGTAAATAAAACTAAAGGAGCTCCCCTCTCCCCAATGGGGGTTTTCTGTTAACGGGGGAAGTTCTACATGTTGTAAATTTGAGGAGTGGTGGGCTGCATCTCGCACGTGGGTTTGTGTTTTTCTTTTGGACTCAGTTTCACGTCACCAAATTCTTCATTTATACTTAGGAAAAAACAAGGCCATATGTAAAAAACCCCTCCGATGCCTAAGTGTCTTTCTCCTGCAGCTCCAAACCCAGACTTGCCACTTGGTGTGCACAAACGGTAGAGTCAGCAGGCTAGGGCTCCCTGTCGCCTTGCCACGTAGGAGGCTTCGAATTAGCTGGAAAAGAGTATTTTTCTAATCTATTGCAAGGAATCGCCAAATCTTAGGGCAGAAAGAAGAGTGAAGAGTGGTTTCCCTGTGCCCAGCATCGTACAATCAGAACGGCGTGGAGAACACAGGGGCAGGTTTGTCAAACACTGTTCTTCCCGCCATGACCTTCCCGTGGTCACTGCCCGCTGAGGGCATGGCCTGCTCCCTCCCCCTCGCCTCCCCCTCCCTTCTCTATGGCACACAGGACACCAGTCCTCAAGGAAAGGGACTTTTTCCCCATCTTCCCATCGTGCGGGAAAGTGCTAGCCGTGCTTACCTTCGTGGAATGTTTGCAGCTCTCCTGAGAGCCCGTCGCACTTCTTTCGTCAGGTCATCGGTGCCAATGCCCTCTGTGCTTCTGAGTTAGTCGGTAGACGTTTTCGTTGGTTGGAGTGACTGGTTTGGGCCTTTCGGTCTGGAAAGGGACCAGAGAGTTGTCAATCTGGTGATGGGAGAAAAGAGCATTGTTTCCCGGCCTGGGGAACGTCTAGCAAACAGCAGCCAGCCTCCCAACGTTGTTGAGAGACCACCCCCACGCCCTGAGGGTTTTCCTCAAGGCCTTTCTCAAGGTCTCCTCTCTACAAAGCACAACACTAATGTATGTTTTGTTAGACCTCAGTTCCAGTGCCCCTATTTATTTCAGTAAGAATACACATATCCCCGCCGCTTTTTGTTTGTCGGCTCTATTTTGTTGTCTCTCCCTTCACCCCTGTCCTCGTCCACCCCTTGGAAGAGTTATGCCAGTGAATCTTAACCCGCCTATGCTTTTTGGTGTTTGAAGGTAGCGGTGAAGGGCACAAGGACAGCCATGGGGACATTTATGTAAATAAGTCTCTCTCATCACCACACTACAGCTGAACAGTGTGTAGTATTTTCCCAGTCAGCTTTGCCATACTGACGTCAATCATTTGAAAGAAATTATTCAGATTTTATTTTTGTATCTGTGGTAACAAAAACATTAACCAAAAGATTATCTGTTTGGAAGCTTCTCCCA